GCAAATGGTTAGACTTTCTAGTCTTCTCGGATAAGGACGATAAACCGTAGGCCCCGTCTCACAAGCCCTTGCACATGTAATAAATCTGTGGGACGTTAAAGAACCCACACACTCTTCGTAAAGAGTAGGGACGTAGTGCCCGGTGTAGTGGTCTATCTCAATTTCACACTCATTTATGGGGGCATCATCACTCATTCCTTCAGCACTTGTAAACTGCACCTTAAGCAGTCTGGCAAAGTCCCCCAACCAGTGTTGTAAATTATCCCTGAAAACCCCTGTGGGGAGTGGATAATAAGATATTTATACATTACATTTACATTTCAACACCCTGAAGGCATTTTTGCTGATCATTCTCATATGAATTTGACTGTGCGGAATTATCAGTAGCACCAAAGCTGCTCTGTTATTGGTACATTTCGTCTTTTCGATCGTACAATATCAGGGTTTTCAATAAGTACCCAGGACCGACGAAAAGCTCAGAGAAGTCGGTTACCTTTTTCGTGTAAGAAGGAGCAATCATGACGTTTTAATACTGTTGTAAACAAAAAATATATCTTAACATCTCAATGAAAACATAATTATGATGTGTTTTTTAATTCACCAAGAACCACTGGATTTATGGTACGCATTAGTTAGTCAATTTTCCACACCTTTTTACATAGATTTACCCAGAGTTTGTTCACTAGCAAATGTACGTTATTGAATTACCGTCATTTGTGTTAATTGCTTGAACGAGTTGATTGTGTGGCTGATAAACCGAAACTTGAATGAAACATTTTAGGGCTTGGAAATTTTAAAATTTTCTGGGAAAACAATGGCCCCTTGTTGACACTGTCAGTTACTCTAATCAAACCTGCTGGCTACTTCAATTGTTATTGAAAGCCCTGGTACATGATGGTAGAGGGAAGTTGTTTCCTATGAGGTCCGCGGTCCAGCGACTGGATATGATCGTGGGCATTTATCATTTTGAAATTATATCAATTTTACGGTCTCCGTTGCTATAGAGTGTTTTCACTCACGTGGCCAGCATCTATGCAAATTTATTGGAACAAAAGAAAGCGTTTGCATAATAAAGGAGTTCAACTCCCACAGGACTCGTTTCGGACACCAACATGGCCGCCGTTTCATTGTTTTGGGACACCAATATGGCCGCCGTGACGTCATGTGAAAACACTCTATTCCATTAAAGACTTATCTGATAGAATTTGATAAAGGATGAAAACATTTTCTCTTTGTAGGTCTTTTTAATTTATTATTCTTATTAACCCTTTTTTCACGTTCTATGGAGAAAATTGGTGTTGGTCGTGTCCCTTGGGAAGGGTTATGTCATTTGCCCCTGCAGCATTACCTTGTGTAGATCTTCATATTTGAGAAACAAGACATTGGAATCATCTTTGTGTTTCCACCAGCCAAGTACATGATCATTCCAAGCGTTCCAACACACTACATATTTATCAAAAGTACCAGTTAACTGATGAAGCTTTATAGTATGGTTTCAAGAATTATGCGGATCGAGTGACGCTCCTTAAAGTAAAATCATATTGTCGAACGGTCGGATTTTCAACGGCCCCAGGGCAGCGGAATGGAAAGATTCTACCTTGAAAAACCTCTTCATTGATTTTTTAAAAAAATTTTTGGTCCAATTTTAAGCAATCCGTCGAATTTTTGGAAAAGAAACTCAGTCATCTGTCCAAAACGTAGGGCCACCGACCATTTAAAGTATTTAAGAAACCTTCAGTGCACACGGTGAGAATAGGTATTCTTGCGACTAAAATAGACTTTATTCATTGTTAATGATATCTAGAATACTCGTTGAATTTGGTGAAACTGACTTGTCACGTTACGCCTTCCTCAAAGTTGATTCACGTATCACTCTTTATGCAAGAAACGCCAACCTCGACATTGGGGAAGAAGACAAAAAGTATACATACGGGGAAAAGTTAGATAAGTTGGTTGAAAAGGCATGACATGAAAAAACCTCACTTTCAATCAAATGTTTCGACGAAAATTGACGAGTATTGTAGCTGAAGATCAGAATTAAAGGCCCACATTCAGTACGTATACATCTGATAAAGTCAAACTTACCATTTCCCTCTATGAATAACTTGGCATAATATTCCCATGGCCCATTAAGGCCATTGCCTTTTTTACGCAAATAATCCGTGAAATGAAAATACGATACTGCAACGTCTTTGGGATTGCGAGCCACGTAAACATATTTGCNTAAAATAGACTGTATTCATTGTTAATGATATCTAGAATACTCGTTGAATTTGGTGAAACTGACTTGTCACGTTACGCCTTCCTCAAAGTTGATTCACGTATCACTCTTTATGCAAGAAACGCCAACCTCGACATTGGGGAAGAAGACAAAAAGTATACATACGGGGAAAAGTTAGATAAGTTGGTTGAAAAGGCATGACATGAAAAAACCTCACTTTCAGTCAAATGTTTCGACGAAAATTGACGAGTATTGTAGCTGAAGATCAGAATTAAAGGCCTACATTCAGTACGTATACATCTGATAAAGTCAAACTTACCATTTCCCTCTATGAATAACTTGGCATAATATTCCCATGGCCCATTAAGGCCATTGCCTTTTTTACGCAAATAATCCGTGAAATGAAAATACGATACTGCAACGTCTTTGGGATTGCGAGCCACGTAAACATATTTGCACTGCATTTCTTTGTTCTCACTTTTCGGTATTCTTCTGTGTGGAAGATGAGTCTTTAGAATGCGAGGGCTTGGTAAAGTGTCCAAGCCAAACGGGTACAACTTTTTATTGGTGGATGGTTCAATAAATGGCACTCGCGATAGAAAATGTTCACCGCTGACTGCTCCGTCGTTGTAGATTTGCCAGACAATTTCTTGCACCCATGTTGTCCCTGAATGAAAATGATAAAAACATCAACTTTAATATATTTAAGTATACTTGACAACTCTTTCAAGCTTTTTTTTTTCGTTTTTTCAGGCCTGTCCCAGTCACCACAAGTGCAGGTATCAATATTTAGACGGAGAGTGGGGGACGGGCACAGGTGTGGCATTGGAACACTTCCTTTGTCCCTCCCATTCTGGGCATTTTGACCCAAATTCGGTCCCAAATTGCAGTTTTGTTAACCCTAGTAAGGAATATTTAATCAAATTCGAACTATTTTCCAGTCCTAAGGCCAATAAAAAGCAAAAACTTCAAATTATGATATGAATTTAATTCAGTCATGGTTGTCAGCAAACAAATTAATGTTAAGAAGACTAAATACATGCTTATAGGGAGCCAATTTAAGTTATCCCAAATAAATAGTGCTTTCACAGTCAAAGTCAATAATATACCCTTAGAAAGAGTGATTAAACATAAATCCCTTGGAGTTCAAATTGATGAATCTTTGAACTGGCGCCCACACATTAATACCATTTCAAAGAAAATATCCGCTGGTATTGCTATCTTAAAACGTGTAAGTCATTTTATACTATTTGATACTAGAATGAATATGTACAATGCACTGGTAATGCCATATTTTAATTGCTGTAGTGCTGTATGGGTAATATCAATAAGGGACTAGCAGACAAACTTCAAAAGATGCAGAATAGGGCTGCTAGAATTCTCACCTTTTCTAACTATGAGGTTCGCTCAAGTGTTTTGTTGGATGAGCTTCGCTGGGAAAGACTAGAATATGTAAGACTTAAACAGTTGGCTGTGAAAATGTATAAAATCCATAATAATCTTTCCCCATCGTATCTGAGGAGGATCTTTCCCAACACCTCTCAAATGTACAATCACACAATCTTAGAAATTCTGAGTTAAATTATTATGTCCCCAGACCCAGAACTGAGACTGCAAAAGGGAGCCTACACTACAGAGGACCTGTTATGTGGAACACGATTCCCTCAGAGATTAGAAAGCCGCCTAGTTTAAATGTTTTTAAAACTTCATTTCATGGGAAAGATTATCTTAATGCACCATGAATCAATGTAACTCTTAATTTATCAAATTAATAATGTAAGTTTTTGTATTTTTAACTTTATAGTCAAGTAGTTCCTTAGAGTATTTTTAGTCTAATTTTACACACGATTCCTAGGAAGACCATGCAAACATGATACGATTTCGTCTATAAATAAAGATTGATGATGATGATGATGAATGCTGCACCTATGCCACTACCCCCCTCCCCCCTTCCCGTCTCTCCATTCAAACATAGATACCTGCATACACCTTATTCCAAAATGGCGACGACTTTATTATTCTTTTATACTTATGTTACTTAGCAGTGACTTAGCCCTCAATGACTCCATTCCGGCTAGACATTCTTTTGAACTCTCAAGAAGTAATCCAGGCATCAAGGGCCAATTAACATAACTGAGGAATAGCTATAAATGAACAAGAAAATTGTCGCCACTTTGGAAACTTTTGCTTGTGGGATTCGAGATTCTGGGCTTTGCAATAAGGAATACAGCTAAAAATACAAATAAAAAAAAATAAGGGAAACAGATCAAGGAATCTGGAATCCAAGTTTCACAGGCAAAGAATCCGGAATCCATTAACTGGAAGCCGGAAATCCAGAATCCAACACTTCTTGGGTGGAGAGGCACAGGAAGGAACGAGTTATCAAACAGAGCCATAATAATAATTGTGGTTATGAAACACACCCGAGTATAATAGTATAATGTAGTAAATACAGGGGATGGAGGAGTTGGAGGGGCTTAGTCGCTGGCCGAGATGAAGTATATACCGGATCTAATAACGTCGTAGTGAATATAATGAAGAACGCATTGGAATATGAACAGTCGGCTATATAGTATACGCCGTGTTTCCAGACAAAGCTTACAGGCTCCTTGACAACTTTGCGTGACATATAGGACTGAGGTTCCCGGGGATTCTTCGCGTGACGAGCCAAAACAAGTCTGCGTTGAATTTACTTACGGTACCT